TGTTGTTATGCACACGATTCATATCGATCACAATTCAAAAAAAGTTGGTCACATATGGATGGACAGGTTATAATTGGAGAAATTTACGTCACGACTCATTTCTAAATCAAACAACATCAATTTCTATAAAACAATACTTTCAAATAACAACTCTTACCCAATTCATTCGCTACTAAATTAAACTGAGCACACCTTACAAATATTGAATACATTGACAATACATGTTACCCATCAATTTTGGCTTACATAAATAAACTTCAAATAAAAAGGGAAAAAAAAACCTTGTTCGAGGTCGATTTTGTGACTGACCTACAAGTTTCGTGTCTTTTTGATGAAGATTCTTTCGGTATGTCCTCTTCCTTTCTTTTACCTCTTCTATTTGGGACACATGCACTTTCTTCCCCCGATCTCCACTACTCAATCGAACCATTTTATGTGGATTTTGGAGTCTATAGTTCTTGCAGAGGAAAATAGAGAATATAATGTCATGTGTATAGTAGGAGCATGTATGGCTGAAGGCGACAGTGAGCTTACCACATGTATTTATTGGCAACAAAGCAAAGGAACGTGAAGATAGTTTTCGTGCGATCGTGTAGGAGAGGGGATTGTACGTGGGATTCGAGTGGTTTTCTAAAAATAAGGAAGTGAAGTTGTTTTTCAATTTTGAACCACTTAAATTACAGGGATACACTCGTAATTAGATTTAATATTTAATTATTACATATTAAACACATGGTTTATGAATAATTAAACCTTAAACCTGATTTTAGAATTGTGCTCTTTAAAAACCAGCTGCAGTGTAATTTTCATTTTAAAATTTTATGATTTTCAGAATATTTTTAGCCCTATTTGGTTTAGATAAAAACAATTTATTTCTTTTAGATTTTGATAAAAGTCGATGTAAGATGTGTTTGAAAAGTTGTGGATTGCATGAAATATGATTAAAATTAAGACTTGGGCCAATTACTCAAACTTTAGAATTGGTTGTAAATATTTAATTAAAGTTCACTCGAGACATGAGATATTTACCTTGAATTGGAAGGGTGCAATAAGTCCACAATTGGACAATGATAGAACCTTAATAGAAGTAATTACTCCAATGCTTTGAAGGCTCATATCAACCGAGGAAGAATCCACGAACAAGTTGTAAGTGTTATGCCCTACGTCCAAT